GTACAGGCTTGCTGTCCTCGAGAACTGTAACTAATATGTTTACTTATAAATTTACTAACGTATAATAAATCGTTAATTGATATATTACTGAAAGGAAGTATCCAAAATTTGCTTACTGTAGGTACAGCCTGCATATGACTGTAAAGCTGCCGCCCAGTTGGGTGGGTGTGGAGCAAGACTAGTAACTGTGCGACTCACCGTAGATGTAAAAGGCCTTGTATAGTGATTGTTGTGAGCCTATTTTTGAATCACTTGTAATATAAAAGATTATTGAATCATAATTCTTAATAACATTCTTAATTCAACTCAATTGTGGTTATCATACGTAACTTGAAACTGGTCGTTCTTTCAAAATAGTTATTCCGTAGGTTGGGCTGCACATGTTGACTGCTCAATCGTGCCATCTACCCGGCTGCCGAGTGAAACAATTCCTTCTATTTTCAACAACAGATGGCGCGGTGTTTCCCTTTCCTAGCTTTCTTACTGCAGAGTTCAGCAGACTCGTGCTAATAATTTTTCGTTGTCGATAGACAAAAAGAATATTTTTTGTACTGATTGGTTTATTTTATTTTTATTTATGCAATAAATAAAAAGAGAAATAGATATAAACTTCAGTAGGCCAATTATAATTAGACTACTTCCCCTTGTAACTTGTTTATAGTTATTTGGGATACCCGGCGGTGCCCGGGTGAATCCGGGCATCCCATATCTGTCTGGCAGTGTTTGTCTTTTCCTGTCTCTTTCTGTTTGCCTTTCTGCTTGTCTTCCTGTATTTTTCGTTATTTTTTCTCCTAATTTCTCTTTCTACCTTTTTTTTTTGTTTTCCATATATTTATATATATATATATATATATATATATATATATATATATATATATATATATATATATATATATATATATATATATATATTTGTACCTCCTTTCATTCCGTTCTCTCTTTCCCTTCCACTTCTAACTCCTGTTCTCTCTCCGTCCTGTTCTCTTTCGCACTTGTTCTCCCTCCCATTCTTTATTCCATTATACCTCCCAATCTCTTCCAGTGGGCATAACATGCTCGAGTACCGTTGAATCCACGTTATCGACGTTGATTGATCGTCGATAACAACAGGAAATGCTGATGCAAGAACTCCATGGACAGTAAAACCCTAATTTCAGATTTCTTTGGAGGTGTTGGGATTCGGAATAGGGGCCAGTCCTTCTTGCATGAGAGTCAATCACAACCATTCTTTGACATTCACTTTCAATCACAAATGGCAGTGCAAATTTCCGTAAGGCTAACTCGAAGCGCCTTGGGTAAAGAAACACATTCTCATTTGTAAATGTTTCACTATGGTTTCCCATTGTCAGGGGGAAAGTAAGCCTGTTAGGCTTATCACGGTCGTCCTAGGCCAACTGTTGAACTTTCCCAAGATAGATATTCAATTTACTATCAAGCAGTAAGTTAACCAGATATAAGTCCAAGCACAGTGATAAGCTCCGTCCCCAGTTCACAGTCCTTGTACCACTTTTTGTTATCGTTCTTATATCAGATACTAGATAGGTTACCCTACTATGTCCAGAGTCTCTCTCTCTCTCTCTTTTTAAATCTAATACTGCTGCCCGAAACGCTTTGCGTAATAGTGGCTTTAGGCATTGTATGTACTAGCTCTATCTATAAATCCATTAACTTTTGTATTTTACCTTGTATGTATGTACCTTACCTGAATAAAAATTTATTTATTATTTATTTATTACTGTAAGAGTTCGGTATTCTGGTAACCCGAATCTCGGGGTAATCTGAATGAATTCCTGCTTATTATTTTCGGATAAACGGCAGGAATAAGCAGGTCAACAATGACAATTTACAGGTAAATAAATGTCAGTTTGCCGGGGTAAACGGCGGGTATAAGCAGGTATTCTGTGGAAAACAAATTCGAATTTCAGATTTCATGAAAATTCCAGATGCCGATATTTCTTATATACCTCTCCTCGCCACTTTTGTCTGTGCCTAAATATTTCTTATTTTGCTTATCTGTCTCATGGTTAAAACACATTCAATGTCAACTTGTGGTTTTGATGTGGCGCGTTTGGCCAGGTGATCCGCCACTTCGTTGAACACTATTCCAACATGAGATGGGATCCACATGAATTTCACTTTATGACCTCTCAACTGGATCTCATTTATCCTGTTCTTACACTCCTCAACTATGGACAAGCAGATTGGATTTTGACTGTTTAAAGAATCAAGTGCTACTCGGCTATCAACAAATACGAAAACATCTTTTTCGTCTTGACGTACTTCCTCAAAACCAGCCAAAATGGCCTGCAGTTCAGCCTGTGTGGATGATATATAATTACTAAGTCGAAGTTCAATTTTCCTGTCCACAGTTATCGCCGGACACCCGATATTGTGTGGGCGGCAGTGCGAGGATGAATTCTTATTATCTTGAACTCTGTCATTACAACCCCCCTATCACCTTTCCTCCAAAGTGGAATGGGAGAAGTTTAGTCGCACATTTATGTGTAGACTTAAGAGTTTGTCTTAAGTAGGTTGTGTGTAATTCTCTCTTACAGGCATACATTACCGTATGTGTTTTAGTGTATCCCGGCCGAGCCAAGTGCAACAGGCGCCGGCGAGAAACAATGGGGAGTTTCTTTCACCCTATACTAACAGTAAAATAGGTATAGTCAGCTGTCACGAGCTGCTTCCTGGGGGTGCCTGACCGGGCCGCGGGGACACTAAAGCCCCGAAATCATCTGATAACCCAGGATAGTTATCACATGTTGCCAAGTGCTGTCATATGTTGTCTGAGGCTATCACATGATGCCAGTGTTGTCACTTCATGCTGTGTTCGTCTTTTATTAAGCCATGCTTTATTAATAGTTGGAATGTGTTTTTATGTAATATTATTTTGCACGAATGTTATAATATCAGGTTCTGTGTGACCACAAAGCCTTACAACAGCCTTCTACGTTATCCTTCCTTTGTGGAAGATCTTCAGTTAACTCCTGTTGCTGTTTATATTATGATATTTGCCATGATCTTATATTAATTCATTTTATATTATCTACATTCGTATGACATTATCTACGTTCCTAGGAGAACGTAGATAATGATAACATAATCGTAGAACGTAGAACATAATCCATATTCTTATGATACCCACATTCTTATGATATCCACGTTCTCATGACATCTGAATTCTTATATTATCCACGTTCTAATAGCATAATATGTGTTCTTATGACAATCCATGTATATATGACATAATCTTTGTTCTTATGACATAATCCATGTTCTTATGACATAATCTATGTTCTTATGACATAATCCATGTTCTTATGACATAATCCATGTTCTTATGACATAATCCTTGTTCTTATGACATTATCTATGTTCTTATGACACTTCATGTTGATATGATTACCACCGTCGACATGTGCAAGAGAAGGAAAGAGACAAAGAAAATCAAAAAGGTTATCACTAGGAGCGGATATGAGGCCACACTTCGTAAACAAAATTCATATTCTTATGACATAATCTAAATTCTTATGACAATACATGTTCTTATGACAATATCCTTGTTCTTTTGATATTATCGATGTTCTTAGAACATTATCTTTATTCTTATGACATAACCTTTGCTCTTAAGGCACAATCCATGTTCTTGTGACATAACCCTTGTTCTTGTGACATAATCCTTGTTCTTGTGACATAATCCATGTTCTTGTGACATAACCCTTGTTCTTGTGACATAATCCATGTTCTTGTGACATAATCCATGTTCTTGTGACATAACCCTTGTTCTTGTGACATAATCCTTGTTCTTGTGACATAATCCATGTTCTTGTGACATAATCCATGTTCTTGTGACATAATCCATGTTCTTGTGACATAACCCTTGTTCTTGTGACATAACCCTTGTTCTTGTGACATAACCCTTGTTCTTGTGACATAATCCATGTTCTTGTGACATAACCCTTGTTCTTGTGACATAATCCATGTTCTTGTGACATAATCCATGTTCTTGTGACATAACCCTTGTTCTTGTGACATAATCCATGTTCTTGTGACATAACCCTTGTTCTTGTGACATAATCCTTGTTCTTGTGACATAATCCATGTTCTTGTGACATAACCCTTGTTCTTGTGACATAACCCTTGTTCTTGTGACATAACCCTTGTTCTTGTGACATAATCCTTGTTCTTGTGACATAACCCTTGTTCTTGTGACATAATCCTTGTTCTTGTGACATAACCCTTGTTCTTGTGACATAATCCTTGTTCTTGTGACATAACCCTTGTTCTTGTGACATAACCCTTGTTCTTGTGACATAATCCTTGTTCTTGTGACATAACCCTTGTTCTTATGGTATTATCCATGTTATTATGGCATAATCCATGTTCTTATGACATCATCCTTGTTCTTTTTAAATTATCAATGTTCTATTAGCATTATCCTTCTTCTTGTGCTATTATCCATGTTATGTCATAACCCTTGTTCTTATATTATCCATTGTCTTATGTCGATATTTTTGTTCTTATAGTATTATCCATGTTCATATTACATTATCCATGTTTTTGTGACATAATCCATGTTCTTATGATATTGTTCTCGTGATATCAGTGTTCTAATAACATTACCCTTGTTCTTGTGATATTATCCATATTATGACATAATCCTACTTATGATATTGTCCATGCTATTATGACACAATCCATGTTCATATGATTTATTAATGATATGAACATGGTGCTTATGACAAGGTTCATATGATCCTTGTTCTTATAACATTCATGTTCTTATTTGTAGTAACTGTATTCTTGTAACGTTATTCAGTTTTGATGTTATTTTTTTAAAGAAATCAAGCATACATTATGATTACATTATGGTTAAAATAAAGAGGATTTTTTTTTGGTTTACGATTTATTTATATATATTGTACACCCTCTTTAGAGTGCCTGCTACTTTTACTAGCTGTGAGTAGCACATAATAATATACAACCAAAGTCCAAAATATCCAATTGCATATGTTTTAATTGACAGGATTGAGAGAAGGGTTTACAGCACTTGGTTCATTATCTTAGTGATATTGAGTTTATCCTTCAATTATCTCAACAACATGTGAGCGGACGATAGAACTGTGAGAAATGTGGCTCACTGTTGTCACACCTGCAATAAGAGTATTGACTTGTAGTAACATCTGGCATTGATAGTACATGCACTGATAGGTGCAAGAAAAATATAATATGTTGTATATAGCATGTTATTTTTCCCTTCTCTATAATATATGTAGTATACCTCGGGATTTACTAGGGTATCCTATATAGTTGAATTAAGCACTACCTTCTAACTCCTGCTGAACCTTGCGGTATTTGGCCAAGTTCAGGGCGGCGATCTCCTCGGCCTCCTCGATCTGGCGCTTGTAGGTTTTGATCTTCTGTTGCAGCTTGTCAACAAGGTCCTGCATCTTATCGTGGTTCTTCTTGTCCTCATCGGACTGGAAGGTGAGCTCCTTGATGCGTCTCTCGCACTTCCTCAGGTTCTTCTGGGCATCAGAGTGGCGGCGGGATTCGTCATCCACTGAGCTTTCCAGTTCACGAACGCGGACTTCCAGCTTGCCTACAGACTTCTTCACTGACTTCTGGGCTGTGGTCTGACTCTCCTCGTACTTGACCTGGAGTCCCTTGTGAGTAACTTCCAGTCCCTTGCGCACCTTCTCGAGATTCTGGGCGTGTTCCTGCTCAGCTCGGAGTTCATCAGCGAGGCGGGCGGCGTCAAGCATGGCCTTCTTGGCCTTGTCCTCAGAGTTCCTGGCTTCATTCAACAACTCTTCGTAGTCGGCCTGTTTAGAAATAAATAGTAGATATATATTATATTTATATATTTAACCTTTATTTGTAATGGGATATCTTTATTTTAATAGGATATAACAGTGTCTTCGGAAACAGAAGTATATTATATTATTATTATTACAATTATCTAGCATTCTTACCTGAAGAGTCTGGGTCTCACTCTCCAACTTCCTCTTTCCAACGATCACGCTGTTATACTGTTCGTAGAGAGAGCTGTGTTGCTCACGAGCTTCATGAACCTCGGTCTCCGCTTGACGACGGCCGCGGTCCGACTGTTCAATGAGAGTGCGAGTTTCTTCCAGCTCTCCGTGGATAGCATTAGCTCGGCGTTCCGAAATACCGTACTGTTCGCGGTACTCCGAAGCAACCCGTTGTTCTTCCTCGACCTTCAGCTGGGCATCCTTGTAATCACTTTGAAGCTTCTTGAGACTCTTTTGCAGATCAACGTATGCCTTATTGGAATGGTCAAGAGCAATTTCGAGCTCGTTGATGTCAGACTCCAGCTTTTTCTTCAAACGAAGAGCTTCAGCCTTTGCCTTAGCCTCGGATTCAAGAGATGCTTGCATAGAATCCATGGCTTGTTGGTGGCATTTTCTGAAGAAAGATAATTATATTATAATTGTTTATATATATAAAATTACATATGTACTGTATTGATTTAAAATAAAATTAATGTATAGTACTATCCAAAGAGATGAGAAAAGCTATACTGAAAAAAAATATACACCCAGAACCTGTATCAGAGTATACTATAGTTGTGAACTATATTCAGGGCTAAAGTATACATGCTGGCTGATCAGTAAACTATTATCTTTGTGGTGACTTTAATAACCTTCCCGTGGCTGCTACGTTTTAAGTCCAACATCAAACCAAACCAAACAATACTTACCGAGTATTGTCAAACTCTTCCTCCTTCTCCTGAATGCGCCTATCAATCTCCTGCCTGACTTGACTGAGCTCAAGTTGACCACGAAGCACCTTGTTTTCTTCTTGTTCCAGGGCGGCTTCAGCCTCCTCAAGAGCAGCCTGGAGTTCGTCCTTCTCAACCTCAAGCCTCTTGGAATGCTTCTCTAGTTCGTGGTATGATCGCCCACCTTCAGTGATCTGGTCCAGTAAGTCCTTGATTTCATCAGAAAGGTTCTTGTTCTCACGACGGGCAGCATCAAAGTGTTCCAGATTCTCCTCGTAAGCAGCCTTGATACGGAAATGTTCAGAAGAGTAGTTACGTGCCTCCTTCTGAGATGCATCGAGGTCAGCAGCAAGGTCATCAACCTTCAGCTTCCATTCAGCAATGATCTTGTCAAAGTTCCTCTGCTTCTTTTCGGTGGCTGAGGCTAGAGTTTGTACTCGTTCAGCTGAAATCTGAGCCTCTTCGTAATCAGAGAGCAATTTCTGTTTAGATTTCTCAAGACTCAAGTTTTTGACATTGAGCTGTTCGATTTGTGATTCTGCTTCATCCAGACGGGCAGCGAGCTTCAAACGAGCAGCCTCAAGCTCTTCAGAACGTGCAACACCTTCCGATTCATATTTCGAGCGCCACACTTGTGCATCGGCGTTAGCCTTAGAAAGCAATCGCTGGACATCGCCCTTAGCTTCGCTCTCAACATCGAGCTGCTCGCGAAGACTCTGGATGTCGTGCTCCAGGTTGCGGTATTTGCCCAGGAGAGTTGCCCGCTCCTGTAACAGGTAGGTGTTTGCGTGATTGTTTCAAATAACAAATTAATATAAACAAAACATATATATTTATATCATCCTAAAATAGCACGTTTACAAATATATGGCATGTCTGTAAATTTAAAACTTACCCTGCTTTCTTCGTCTGCGAGTTTTCGGTTGTCCTCGAGCTGATTAGTGAGGGACAGTTTCAGCTTGGACAGCTGACCAATCTGGCTCTCAGCTTCCTCCAGTTGACGCACAAGGTCTGCGTTCTCAGTAGCAAGCTTTTTCTTAGTGGCATCATATTCACTGAGTGTTCTGTTGGATTCGTCAATCCTGGCGTGGATTTCAGCCGCTTGCTGCTGAATCTGCTTGGCAGTCTTCTCTGCTGCGTTCTGATTATAATTCACGAAGTTTAAATTATAATTTGTTATCAACAGTTTTGCTGGTATTAAAGGTGCAACAACTGCATAAGATTACTGAAATGAACCCAATTTTCATATGTCTAATTCTACTTATACTTTAGTTAAATAAGTGTATCCCATTATTTACATTAAAATTATTTTATGTTGCGTTGTTTAGAATTATTGTAGATTTAGCAAAAAAAATTAACTATTGTCATTATGAAAATCTGTAGCATATATATATATATATATATATATATATATATATATATATATATATATATATATATATATATATATGTAAAGTAAACATCAATAAAAAATTTACTGAATAAAAGCTCTGATGACATGTGACGCACCTTATCGCGGAAAATGGCGTCGTAGGCTGCTTTAGCGTCCTCTGAATCACGTTTTAGGGTGTCCTTGTCCTTCTCCAGCCTGTGTCGAGAAATTTATATATATTGGAGAGTGCTCTTTGATAGGAAGATACGAGATCCTTTTTATTTATAGTTTGGAGAATATTTTGCACTGATTTTTAGTTCTGCCAGATGTTAGATTCAGAGGAAAATGATAAATAATGAGTGAAATTTGTTTAAAAGTCCTTATAAATATTTCTTGAAAATAAAGTTGAGACAAATGATAATGATTATTGCACTTAATTTTAATTTTAAGAAATAAATAAAATATTTATTACCGATAATTAACTCCAAGTTTTTGAAGCTGGAATTTGCTTACCTGGCCTTCATCTTGTTGAGATGCTCGATCTGTTCAGACAATTCTGAGATGGCATCATTATGCTTCTTGCGAAGAAGACTGACAGCAGACTCGTGCTGCAAGTTGGTTTCCTCAAGATCATGACGAAGCTTAGACAGTTCACTTTCACGCTTCTTATTCAGCTCGATCTGGGCTGCTGTGGCTCCACCAGCCTCATCCAGACGATCTCCAAGTTCTGAAAGCTCGCGAGCCAGACTTACTTTAGCTTTTTCAACCTTAGCGCGGGCTTGGTGCTCGTGCTCAACCTCTGCTTCAAGTTCCTCCACTCGGGATTGCTGTTCTCTGATTTGCCTTTGTACCTTGAGATACTGAGACTGCTCCTCCTCAACCTTGGCAATTAAAGCAGAATATTCCTTATCCTTGCGATGGATAGTACTCTCAAGGTCCTTATGATTTCGTTCCAGATCAGAAATAGCTTCCTGGGTAAGTTTAAGATCACCTTCAACCTTCCTCTTAGCCTTCTCAACGTCACTGCGAAGTTTCTTTTCGCGTTCAAGAGAATCCTCGAGTTCATCAAGAGTCTGTTCGAGCTTTGACTTCAAGTTGGTGTAGTGATTACATTTATCTTCGATGCTCTGATAGTCTTCGGCAGTCTTCTGATTACATTCTTGGAGTTGTTTTTTCTCCTTGTTAACTTTGTTGATGAGCTCTTCCTGGTGGCTGACTTCTTCATTGAGGGTGTGAATCTGTTGGTCCTTGGTGGCCTTGTCTTGTTCAGCCTTTTGGAGTGCTACTTCGATATCCTCAAGATCCTTCTTCAGGTTTCCAAGCTCCTGTTCCATTTTTTTCTTTCCCTGTGAGAGTTGATTACGGGTTTCTTCTTCCTTACGGAGGCGTTCAGTGACTTCCTGATAATGCGTAACAAACCAGTGATAAGAAACATAGGTTTTAACAAATAGACAGCAAATCGCAAGATATAATGTGCAATCAGATTTCCATTTGTTACAGTGTTGATATCTGTAATGTACGTATTTTATATTAAATTCAAATTACTGTATGCATGTACCGTTTTTTTATTTGAGTTAAAACTAACATAGAAATTTGATCAACCCTAGCCTAACATAATTAAGTCATGCATCGGGACATGCATAGTAGACCAAGCAGTGCGTTCTGGCTATAGGTACGACATATATAATCTATATATTATATTTACTGTGATATATATACTTACGTTCAACTGAGCTTGTAGGTCTGCCTTTTGACTCTCAAGTTTGGCTGTTTTCTCGAGGAAGTCGGACATGCCACTCTTGCTTGAGTCGAGAGCCAGCGCAAGAGAATTCTTCTCCTCCACAAGACTACTGTATGTAGCTTCCAGTTCTTTGCGAGCCTTGGATTCCTTTTCGAATTCTGCCAAACATTTGTTAGCCTGCGATTCGAGGGCATCGATCTCATCATCAGCGCGAGTGACGTTGAGACGGGGCTTAATTGATTGCCAGAGGCTGTACCAAAGCCAGGCGTGCATTAGCTTGTATTTCCTCAGGTTGCGCTGGACAACAAGGAGAGCAACACGCTGGTCCTGGAGTTTCTTGTAGTATTTGCGGCTCTTGAAGCCTCGGATCCACGACTGCAGCCATGTCGTCAACAAGCCCACACGGTCTTCACGGATCTCTTCCAGGGTACCCAGGACACCAGCGCGGAAGAATACCTGTTCCATGCGATAACATTCGAATGATACTCAATGGGCAAAGGAAATGATGACAACAACAACAATAATAACTTATATAAAAATTACTACAGAGGTTTTGATAACATTTTTACATAGCTGTATTTTTTGTCTTTGTCATCTTTACGAATATCTTCTCAGAAAATGTGTTTGGGAGGGATATATAATAGAGAGATGTACACCACATCTCTGTGTATACACTGTCGATAGATCTTAAACCCAACACGAAATCAAAGGTATTTAGGTGTGAACAAGAGTGCTCGACATAGGAAAACAAAAGTCAGTTAACTATATCTTGGTGAGAGAAATGAAGATAAAATGTAATTAAAAATGGATTGCCCCTAACGATATCATAAAATCCTAAATGTACCTTGGTGTTGCCGAGGCGGTAGAGCTCTGCATCGAGCCCAGCCTTGTCGAAGCAAGCCTTGGCTGCCTTCTTATCGTCGGGCTGCTCACACATCTCCTTGGAGGCCAGGATCTTGTAACTGAGATGAAAATCGGCATTTGTAATATTGTATGTAAAAATGTTGCATCAATGCTTAATTGCCAATACAATATGATTCTGTATCATATAAATCCTTCAAAAGATGTGTCGATTAACACTAAAGCTTTGAAGTAATTTCTTTTTTATTTTTCCCTGTTATTTTCGTAATCTAAAGTTTGTTATTTTAATTCATATATTTTCTCACCGGTGCTTGAATTCAGGGTACAACATCCTGTTGGGGAAGCCCTTACGACAGATACGGATGCCCTCAAGCACACCGTTACAGGTGAGCTGATGCATGATAAGGCCGGCCTCTGTCTTACCTGAGGAAGAAAATAAATATACATAAGTGAAAGCTGAAATAATCTTCGGCTCTAAAAGCAGAAGATAATTAACAAATTTGCCGCTGAACTGGAAAGTATGCATTCAGAATCATAGAACCGAAGTTGTGTCACTGTAATTTTTGTTCGCTTTGTTACTCCTAAGAATGAGATTGTTTGTACAAAGGGTGAGTTTTTTTAAAGTCTTAGTAGCATAATAGATGTGGTATTGCTGGTTGTTTTAAGCTAAGGTTTCTCATATTTGTAAGTGTGTTTGGTTCGGTATAAATTGAAGCTGCTTCGCAAAGGCCATCTACTCCTCTATTATTTTATTATGATAAGTGGAAGTTATCAGAAATATCAGATTATTAGAAATAAAGGAATTAGAAACAATAGGTAATTTACCCATTGTTGTTGGGTAAATATTGTTGCATTGAAGGGATGGGTTTTTGGATGGAGTGTTGGATTGCGATAGGTTTGTTATAGTATAGTGGTGGTGGTGTCGGGTTAGTTGACATTGTGTTGTAGGTTACTATATGGTGGATTGTCGGTGGGAGATTGTGAAAGTGTATTGGTTTCACTGACCAGCTTTAATTAATATTATAATGGCCATGCCAACGTAATATTAAATACTAGTACAGAGCTAAATATTTTCTGAAAATAAAGGCTCGTTAGTGAATGGTGCATTTCTCGATTCACGCTTGTCTACAGTTCATACTCTTCTATCATTGTTCCTATTCTTGGTAACCAAATTTTAGCAATAAAATTATATTTATCATTAATGTAAAGGCAAAGCAATATAGTGTCCAAACATATGGTGACAATATAGATGATTAAATGCATCGTTTAAGAAAATGTACAATCAATTTTATCAATTAAATGTTTCTCAACAGTTAATGCTGTCATGATATAATCTAAAGTTTTTGTCATAGCTGCAGCGGAAAGGACATATCATTACTCACCAGGAGTTTTCGTCTCGTTGGGGACGATGCAACGAATGAAGTGGGGGTGAGTAGAATTGAGGGTTCTCATCAGGTTATTCAACTGGTCCTGTGGTAGAAAACAAATTAGGGTTTCGAATATATATTCCAGACATAAGGTAAAGGTGAACATTTTTTCTTTAACCTGGAGCGCATGTTTATATATATCCAATGTTCATTATGTCATGTATTTGTAATATTAAAACGTGAGGGTGCACCATATATTAGTTATGTTTTTTACTAAATAAAGTGGAACCAATGTGTAGCAATAATACCTACCCTGTATCCAGAGGACACAGTCTTGAAGGAACCAGATTTTTTAGCACCTAAAAGAAATAAAAAATATTTAGAATCTCAATTAGAATATAATTGTATTTTTGTTCATGTTTTTTCATCTTTCTTGGCTATTTATTTTAGCTGATTTAGTTAGAATTAAATATCTGGCATTATATGGATAAAACAGATGAGCACTTGAATGAAGAGAAACTTTTTTCTTAATCTCATTGCTTCCAATTCAGACAACAATGACTACTGGAAGCATCTCAGTCTTCAGGTTTGAAGGACCAACGAGAACTCTGTGAAAAGATAAAGGAGTTATTAGCTTTAATTCTCAGACCGGAAGTGAAATTGTAGTATTTACATCTGTGTATAAATGAGAGAAAGAAAATTTCATGTTTATCATCCATTTTCATATTTTCATATTACTTGTCATCTTCCTTTTATTTTTATATTATTGTTAGCTAAAATATAATGTAACAAGTTTATTTTTACCGTCACTGCATGGAACGTTGTTGTAACGTTTTACGAAAATGTTAGGAATACTTGCCACCTATCGTTATTTCTACCGTTTTTGCACGGAGCGTTGTCGAAATAGCTGAATAAAAATAAGAAATACTTACCACCTTTGCCTCCGCCAGATTCAGCGGTACCAGACTGTCCAGGATGGTCAGCGAAGATGGTAACGACAAGTGAGTTGGAAGATTTCTTGAGCTGGTCGACGACGGTGTCGTTGAGGGGATCCTTGTTCTTCTCCAGCCAGCCAGTCAGGTTGTAAGTGACAGTACCGGCGTAGTGAACAATGGCGAAGTGGCCCTCGGGATTACCGGCCTTGGGTGGTTTGGGCTTGATGAACACGGGAGTCTTGCCGAGATGGTTATTGTTCAACTTCTCGGAGAAGGTCTTGTCAGTGGCTTTGGGGAACATAGACTCTTCCTCAAGAATGGAGAGTAGACCCATTTTCTGTTGAAATTATTTTAATGTTAGAAAAATATATTAAGTTGAAAACCAAAGAACTGATTTAAAAAAATTGTGTTATTATTACATGAAATTATCCAAACATTACTGTAATGAACAATTTACCTTCTCAAAGAGCTCGATGCAGGCTTGCAAGTCCATACCGAAGTCGACGAAGACCCAGTTGATACCTTCCTTCTTGTACTCCTCCTGTTCCAGCACAAACATGTGATGGTTGAAGAACTGCTGCAGCTTCTCGTTACAGAAGTTGATACAGATCTGCTCGAAGCCGTTGTCCTGTGGGGGCAAAAATATTTCTTAATAGGCTAGATTCAATATCTCAAATTAATTATTTTTTGTGGCAAGTCTCTTTACACCTGCTTCCACTGCTCATATTGGAGAAAGACTCAAAATTATAATTCTTCCTATATTCTAGGAAAAGGTATTAAATAATGCGTTTTGTTAAATATTGTTTGTAATTATATCTGTTAAAGATAAAACCTACAAATATTTGCAGATGTGTATAACAGTTTACAAAAGTTGTGTAATGAAATACACTGAAAATCTCTAAGCTGGTAAGGTCGAGGCTTTACAAATAAAATGTAGCTACGTTCAATCCATGATCGGCTTAATATGGCCGTCTGCAAAGACACATATGTCAATGTTCTCCTCCAGTATAATATGGTATTGTGCGTCGTTCGGCTTTGGTTAGGTTAGGTGTTATGGTTCCTTTAGCAATTATTTGTATTTAGATTGCATGAATAAACCATTTGGGGAAATACTTTTTAAATGTCAAAAGTGATTGAAGCATTTTAGAGAAAAAATTTAACATGATCATTCGCGAGTCATGTGTAAAGTGTTTTTTAATAACAAAATGAAGAACTTTTGTTCAGTGTTTTGAAGATGGGTTTTACTGTTCAAGTTACTTACATCGAAGATCTCGAAGCCGGCAATATCGAGCACACCGATGAACGAATGACGCTTCATGCCAGTCTCAAGGGTCTCATTACACTTTGATACCAAGAACTTGAATACTCTGTCGAATAGACCCTTGGCCAGGGCACCAACTGAATAGTTACACTGGTTCACGTTCATGCCCTTGGACACGAACTCAGCGCCGACCTTGATCTTGGGCTTGGTAATGTTCCTGTACAGGTCTTCAGCTTCAACGCCAAGAAGCTTGGCAACTTTGTCTCCAACCTAATAAAGAGGAATCAGCAAGTTACTTTTCAACATTAGAATCTATCAAGGATACTTTATGACTGGATCAGTGATTCAAGTGTACATAATCATTTAAGTATTGCCACACTATTTGTTGTTGTTTTAGATTTAGCTACTCAGAACGAAATGTCCATGTAGCACGGGCTACAGAGAGCCCGTAAAACACACTATAATAAACTTGTAATTATAATCACCTCAGTGCCGTCGATCTCAGCCTGCTCCTCGCGACCCCTCTGCTTGAACTTCATCTCACCGAAGTGCATGACTGCAGCAGTCACCTTGTAGACATCCAAAACTTCTTGTTTTGTGAATCCAAGAATGTCGAAGGCGTCCTGGAATTTGAACAGAAAAGCGAGATATTAGTTAATTGAGATGGCATCTTTTAAATCTATTAGCAGGTAAAAATGTTTACATATAATGTGTAAATTATTATAAAAGTAAGTGCTGTAAGCAAAATGTGTTATTACAAGAGTTGATAAAATCTCCACATGCATCTCTATGTCGATGTTTAAGTACTTGCTAATAATTGACACCAGCGGCAGATACGATCCTGATGATAGAAAATGAAAATTTACGAAAACCAATTGACATCTATTGAAGTTTATGGGAGCTTCTCAGTCGACACTAAATGTTCTCTTTAAATGCATCACACATACGCACTAATTATATATATGCTTGTATATATATCCATATGTGTATATTTACATATGAGTTATAGTTATACAAAATAAGAAAAGATTAAACCTTGCAAATATATTGAAGAAACACAACTGGCAAATCCTAACTGCTACTCTCTCATTTTTTTGTGGAGGAAGCAGTGACCTGCCACGGAACAACCTGTGGCAGTGGAAGACGTCGTCAATAGGTAAACACAAACGTGAAGGCAGAAGTCAGCATCTGATTGCACAATAACATGATGTATTTATGAAATAAATATTGTGACAATGAATGGGATAGATTTCATGTTTCTGGGAAGTCTAGAGACATGCGTTAGATCCCACTCCATTGCCATAATATTTTTTCAGCATTTAATTGTTTTCAGGTACAGAAAGGAAAATATTGCATGTAGTTTGTATCTTCTGTGATACTGTTGCCTTATGATATATTATATATATAAATATATTAATATATATATATATATATATATATATATATATATATATATATATATATATATATATATATATATATATATATATATATATATATATATATATATATATAATTTCAACCCGTCCTCTCCAAAATTATAACACATTTACCAGCTGAAAGACATGTATACACGATCTGTACTGTTGCATCCATATAACAGAAGGTATTGTGTACTATTGAAATTGTCAACGAACATATAATGCAATGAAGCATTGGGAAACGACGACAACCCAGCTTATCCTAAGGTTAACAAAACTCACCTTAGGCTTAATATAAACAATCCTTGGTCTATTATAATCAAACCTATTTCTAATCGTACATAAATTTGCCCTTTTTTGGCATACGATAGGTTAGGATAGTCATAGGTTTGCTTATGTTAGGCCTAGGATAGAATAGATTATGCTGTCTTCATTATTGCTTTCATCGCTATGTTTCGATATAAAATTGTATAAATTTACAAACTTCATTAAATATAAAATTTCAACAGTACAGGATGTGAACTATAATAGGGATGCAACAATCCATACTTTGTAAATATATCTCACTATTGCTATATTTATTACCATTTTGGAGGACAAGTAGGATACTTCATGGTCATTAGGGTACATTGAACATGCTTTTATCTTTGAACTTTTGTGCTGTTCGTCTGATTTCCTTTTCAGATCTGAACAGTGAAAGGGATCATTGATAAATTTTAGTATTTGTGTAGAGATAAATCTTAGTATATGTATAAATGTAAAATACAAAGTATTACAACAGTAAGATCTACCCAATCGATATTAGTCCCCCAACATATCGATTGTAAGGTTTGTATTCTAATACTGAAAGCACTCACACCGGTGTTTGGGCCGGATTGATACGCCTAGTTAAACCACTCACGTGACAGAACTGCATGTCTTCGCCGTCATCAATGGAGGGGACGGTGACCTTGCCCTGAGACACGTAGTGATAATCGTAGATGTCGTTGCTAAGGAAACACAGGGCTGCAGATGGGAGTAAACATGTAGGCAATGGGACCAAAATGTGATGAAAATTCCCTCTCTAAATTAGTCTTTTAACCAAATGGGGAATTTTAGTTTAATTCCCTCATTAAAAATGATAAGGGGTCATAATAAATTCGCTCATTTTAGAGACTGCTAAAACTTCAGTTTCTCTGATATATTCCGATCGCTTCACTTTCTAGGTGAATAATGATTTATAGTTTCATAATGAAAATTTTTGTATTTGTAAATGGTCTCGGAATTCATCGACTTCATGATAATTCATAATACGGCAGTATCAAACTCATCAGTTCCCGTGCATTTCATAAATGACCTGAACGATGGAGACAGTAGCGGACCAGTAATTATTCTACACTTTAGAATATATTCTTGATATGGGCGAGAATAATTGCTGATACAATTGGTAGATAAAATAATTTCCACTCAGCAGGGGCGTTTAAACGATCTTGGTAAATGATAAATTTCACGAGCTCAAAGGGTACTACATACTAATTTTATCTTTGAACGCCTGCAAATCTATTAGTCTAATTTGCAATATAAAATTTACAAGAAATGTTGAAAGCAACAGGATGCTAAGTTTGCAATTGCAAAATATATCAGCTTGTCTAAAAGGACACACACTCTTGTTATTTACGGATGGTTTTATTTTCCGTTTTGTTGCCCAGGTGCTGTATATCGACGCTAAAAACAGTGAACTATCTCGAAAGTAGAACAAACACACACACACATATGTGTGTGTGTGTTTGTCTTATATATATATATATATATATATATATATATATATATATATATATATATATATATATATATATATATATATATATATATATATATATATTTGGCCTACGTAATTTTTGTAGATCCAGGGAATGCGCAAATCACAGTGATGAGATCATCGATGACAGTGTTCGGAAGATTAGTTGACTTTGGGGTGTTCTTAAACATCCCAAAGAATATGAACCATTAGCAATATGAACCACCGTTGACTTTTCTACATTACATAAGTCGAAATCTACTTTGCACACACTAGAGACCACTAAGTAAGTACTTACGTTTAATCAGCGAGATCTGGTCGGACATCATCTCGTAGAAGATATGGTAGGAGCGCTCAGCAGCCTGCTGGGAGATGACGCGAGCCTTCTCCAGCAGGTAGACCTCAATGTCAGCACCGGCCAGCTTGCCATTGGGTTGGAAGTGGATACGGATGAACTTACCCTGTGTGGAGAACAGAGTCCATCACTAATCAAGGAGCATAAAAATATTAAACCCCACAGGTTAAATTTGTTAATAGATCAGCACTAATATTCCTGGTGTATAAAAGCAGTATACAAGAGGAACTTACGAAGCGGGAGGAGTTGTCGTTACGGGTGGTCTTGGCGTTACCGAAGGCTTCCAGTACAGGGTTGGTCTGGATGATCTGGTCCTCCAGGTTCTGAAGTAACAATTAAAAAAAGGTATTTTAGTGTCAGGTTTTCGAAAATAAATCCCTAATAATGATGCAGAATTGTACTAACAACAATCAAAATTACAACTTTTTAACAAACAACAAAGAGAAGATTAATAAAATTTACATTATTCGAGTGTGAGATTGTTTTATCAAGGAGCATGGTATACCTCGCTAATCGGTATACATATAATGAGTTTACTCTAGTTCTGGACTACGTTAAAGACTTTCTTAAACTCAACACAGCCCAACTCTGGCAGCCAAGGAAGTAAATCTTTAAGAAAGCAGAAGCCTGCTCCAATTAAAATATATTTAATTATTCTTACCTGCTTGACTGCTTCGCCTGGTTTCTTTTCGGTGGCGCCGACGTTGGCGAAGTAGGAGAGTACCTTCTTGGTGTTCTCAGTCTTGCCGGCACCGGACTCACCGCTGTGGGTTACAAAGTGATATTATGAAATTCACCGCCTTAGAATTATACTGAACTTAAGTTTGTATCGTTAATAACGATATTAAAGTAATCTAAATAATATAAAACACTCTATTCCTTTTTATAAGCCAATGTTTCAGATCGTAGATCGTATATATATAAACGTAACTAAACATATATGCATGCATATACTATTGAACTTACGTGATAAGCATGGACTGGTTCTCGTTACCTGTTAACAAAGATAATATACAATTTAATTTCCTAGTTTATGCTTTATATTAATTTTCAATTTGTATAGTTATAATTGCATATTTGATAACATAGTTGATGTGAAACTTAGAGTTTATTACCCTTTCTAATTTTATTGATATAAAAAATTGGATACACTCACTCTGCAGCATGTTCATGTAGGCGCCGTCAGCGATAGCGAAGAGATGGGGAGGTACTTCATTACGCCTCTTGCATTGGTAGATTTTGACTGCGCGGTTGGTGTAGATGGGGAAGCGCTTGTAGGGGTTGACGGCAATACAGAAGAGACCGGAGTAGGTGTAGATGAGCTGAGCAACATAACGGGACTTCAAGTTGTAGAGGACGGAAGCATCGTTGAGGTAGGTCAAGTTGGACATGTCCTCGCATTTCTCGTACTTGGGAGGGTTGACCTGACCAACAAGATCCTTCTTCCAGTTCTTGGTCTCACCGTTAGCCAATACAGTGACAAGATCGCCCTTAGTTCCTTGGATAAGGCCCTCAATAAAACCTTCCTCAGGATGGGGAACCCAACAGGATTTCTTGGCGTCATAGGGTTTTGACTGATCTTTCATTCTCATCTCCCTGGAGATGAACAGGTATTCGGTCGGATCAGGGTCGGGTCCCTCGGACTTTTTTACGTGGCCGGGCATGTTGGTGGTGAGTGCCTAAAGTCGTCTAATTCTCAAATATATAATATCTTCCCTGGATGGACCTGTAATTAAAATACAAAACTCATTAGTATATTAGCCATATAATAGCAATATTAGTGTAATCAATATTATGTATGAACGCATGACTAATGCGCCAAGATATTCCTGGTTCTTGGAAAGTTGTTCTAGTGCGAAATTAAGCTTTGTATTTCAGTTAGCAAGCTTAAAAAAAGTAGAAAAAGCTGATTTAGCTGGATTTGGTCTTTGTTTTATGCCGTAGTTCTAAAAAATAGATTTCTGGCTATCATAATATATAATCGGAAATTCATATGAAAGACGCTGTTGCAATATATATATATATATATATATATATATATATATATATATATATATATATATATATATATATATATATATATATATATATATATATATATATATATATATATATAAAGGTGGACTTTCTTTATTAAATTTAGTTTTCTTTTTCTTTTAATTTGCGCAAAATTAACTGCAGTAAACCGTTTTATGTTTGCCTGGGTTTTGTTTACACTGATTGCCAGATTATTACTAACGTGTTATCTTAGTACAGTGTTAGATAACACCTTGTATTATATATTAGGAAAAATGGGTTCATTGAAACTTTTTAGTCGTTCACTTCCCTTAAATACTTGATTTCAAAGGGCTGATTCGATTCCCTTCAAAGCCCAGCCAGAAGAATATTTTTTTATTCAAGGATATTGCATTATATCTGCCAAATGGAATATTTTCCAAGATACTGTATTTGTTACATCAGTAAACAGACATTCTTGCTCAATAATACTGTATTGTAACAAATATTTTTGTTCCAGTGTACTGTATTGTTTTACCAGTCAACAAACTTTTTTTTCCAATATACTGCATTGTTGTACCAGTAATTTATTTTTCAGAATGTTATATTGTTCCAGTTAACAATAATACTGTTGTTCCATAATACTGTATTGTTGTACCAGTCAACAAAAACACTTTTGTTCCAGAATATTGTATTGTTGTACCAGTCAACATTTTTGTCTCAATATACTGTATTATTGTACCAGCCAATTTTGTTTTCTATTATACTTTATTGTACCAGTCAACAGACATTTGTGTTTCAATATTCTGTATTATTGTACCAGTAATTTGTTTTGTTGTACCAATAACTTATTTTTCCAGTATATTGTACCAGTCAAGACACTTTTGTTCCAGAATACTGTATTGTTGAACCAGTCAACAAATATTTTCGTTTCGATATACTGTATTGTACCAGTCAATTTGTTTTGCTCCATGATGCTGTATTGTTGTACCAGCCAATCAACAGTATTTTTGTTTCAATATACTGTATTGTTGTACCAGTCAACATTTTGTTTTCCAGAATACTATATTGTACCAGTCAGCAAACAGTTTTGCTTCAATATACTGAGTCGTTGTACCTGTCAACAATTGTTTTCCAGTATACTGTATTGTACCATTCAACAAGACATTTTTGTTCCAGTATATTGTATTGTTGAACCAGTCAACAAACATCTTTGTTCCAGTATACTGTATTGTTGTACAAGTCAAAATTTTTGTTCCAGTATACTGCATTGTACCAATCAATGAAAAAAAAATTCCACTACACTCTATTGGACCAGTACTGTATTGTTGTACAAGTCAAAATTTTTGTTCCACTATACTATTGTTGTACCACTCAATGAACATTTTTTTTCCACTACACTCTATTGCACCAGTCAATAGACATTTTTGTCCCAGAATACTGTATTGTGACTCTAGTTCTAACATTAATACTAAGTGTTCTGGTACAAAACTTTGCTTCAAACTGTGTTTTTCGTTTGCATTTTCTGATGATTGTCAGTTCATATAGTTAAAAAAAATTTACATGTTCCAGGCACTATAAGAATGGTCACGACTAGTAAGTGAGCGTCTGAGAGCTACAAGAACTTGTTCTGTGACCTCGTTATCGTTGATAGTAATTGTAACAATTATTCAACTTTGTATTCACAAGACCGATAAGCTCAAGCAAACTGTTTTATCTGCGTACACAGAGTCATCATAAATGTTAAAATCCTCATTGTAAACAGCTCATAAACTGTTTGCAATAATTTACACACATTAAGCTATCGATGTTATAAAAACAAATCACTTTTCTATAACAACACACACAAATATACTGAATTCAAAGTGAACTTGTAACTTACAAGCTCATTGTATACAGTTTATAAACTGTTTGCAATAATTTACTCACAATAGGCTATCGCTGTTATAAAAACAAATCACTTTTCTATAACAACACACACAGATATACTGAATTCAAAGTGAACTTGTAACTTACAAGCCGCGCTTCACTGCACCACCACGAGCACACCACGTCTCGAGCTCACCACCGTCTCGAGCACCCACGGAAGGGCGTCTGAGGGCGCCTGGTCCACCGACTTACCAGGTCGCCACGTGAGGTGTAACACAAGCTCCGGTAAGTTAAGAATAGCACTTCGCCAGGCCTGGTCACCTGCGGCAAATTTTTCCCTCTTGGCAACCCACTGTCTCGAGAGAGCGTACCAACCACCGTCCAGTTTGGTTACTCATTTCTTATTTAACAACGATTTTCACGAGCTCTTTGATAATAGGTGCTCTATCTCTGGGAATGTATGAATGTCATGAGTATTAAAACTGCGTAAAAATCTAGGCTAAATGTTCTTTCTGAGCTCGTCTCAATTTTTGTTTTGTGCCTCGTGTCGCTTCCGTATTTGGAAAGGTGCGTCCCCCGACCTCGTTGAGACAATCCAACCAGTTTCTTCAGTTTAATACTTCTCAGTCTCCAGTTCAGTATGATTGACAAATGCCGCGTCTCTAATCATCCCGATATTACGCCATAGTTAAAGTATAATATGTAATTTTTAGTGTAAGTAAAATTTTGTTTGTAGTAAAAAATGTTTTAAACATTTCTTAGTTTCTAAGCTTCTTTTTCTGAGCTTCTTTAAGTTTCAAAGTGCATTTTATATTTCTAAGTGTATTTGCTCATTTTTGCGATAGGTGAAGTTTGCTTAGATTTGGTATATTTAAGTTAGATTTGCACTTACTGAAATAGAGAGATAGGCAATTCCTTACTGAAAGCTGCAATTTCACTAAGTGCATTTTGTTACTACGTAGCCATGTCAAATTACATATTTGTCTTTATTTCAGTTTATTATAGGGTAGGGTATATTATAGGGTTAGGGTATTTATTATAGGGAACCTAACCTATAGGGTAAGTTAGGATCGGTTTGGTTATATATATCTACGTTAGTTTTAATTCAAATTAACAAAAATGATCTTATACATAATGAAATGGATAGCTTTATAATTTCATAAGAAAATTAAAAAATATATATAAATTCAGGAAAACTTGGCTTATTAGGTAAATCGGGCCTTGCATAATAGGCCGAGCACTGCGTTCTGGCTACTAGGTACAACATATATGGTTATACATATCTACGTATATATATATATATATATATATATATATATATATATATATATATATATATATATATATATATATATATATATATATATCGTCCCTAGTAGCCAGAACGCACTTCTCGTCCTACTTTGCAAGGCCCGATTTGCCTAACAGACCGAGTGATTTTCTTTATTTTTAAAAACTTGTTTTCAATTGGTTTATTTTGATTTATATTATTTTATTATATTAAGAACAAATTATTGACTTAATTATGTTAGTTTAGGTTAGGTTAAGAGAGGTTAGGGTCGGCCATATATCTACGTTAGTTTTAACTCGAATTAAAAAAAATATTAACTCATATATAATGAAATGGATAGCTTTAACATTTCATAAGAAAAAAATGGAAAATTATATAAATTATAAAAACTTGGCTTATTAGGCAAATCGAGCCTTGCATAGTAGGCTTAGTACTGTGTTCTGGCTACTAGGTTCAACATTTATATATATATATATATATATATATATATATATATATATATATATATATATATATATATATATATATATATATATATATATATAATATTGTTGTTCAGCCTACTCTGTAAGTGTTTGGATGGCTTCCTTATTCGTATTAAGTTGATGCCGTATGAGGTCTTGCGTATACCTATAGGTAAACTCTGCGTTATGGACTTCTGAGTTATGTGGGTTTATATTGGTGTATACTGGCAGCAGGTTTTAATTTATACATGTTTCATTGAATATGACTACATATTCTGTATTGACTATTTTCTTGTTTAGGGCTTCTATCCCTCTGAATAATGCTCTTGCATTTTGGTTTAATTGGAAGAGGAATTCTCCAAACCTCATCTTCGTTCGAGGTAAAGAAAAATAAATAATTAGCTGTAGAATGCATTACACTTATTATAGTGGACGTTAGAAGGAACTTTTTCAGTGTCAGAGTAGTTAACGGATGGAATGCATTAGGCAGTGATGTGGTGGAGGCTGACTCCATACACAGTTTCAAATGTAGATATGATAGAGCCCAGTAGGCTCAGGAATCTGTACACCAGTTGATTGACAGTGCAACCCGTTCTCGCACTTGCTTATAGTCAAAATTTGGCATATGAATAAATGCATATGTGACATACTAATTTATTGTGAATATTTGAGTTTACCTAGAAATGATGAATAGAAAATACCGACCTAACCTAACCTTCTTAATATGTTAAGATATTACAGTTAGTACTGAACCTATACCTATATTTATATTACAGTTTTATAAAAATAATAAAACAAAACTAAAATATTTGAATTAATTGTAAAGTAACTCAGGATATTGTAAAATTTTGTATAAAATCTCTATTGTTTAATAAAACTGAGAAGAAGAGTTAGTGTCTTGGAAAAAAAATGTCTTGGAATATGTCATATATATACTTATTTATAATCAAAATAGTGACTATAAGCAATAAGTCCTATTTGTGCTATCTTGCGCAAGAGCGGGTTGGACAGTTGAGAGGCGGGCCCAAAGAGCCAGAGCTCAATCCCTGCAAGCGCAAATAGATGAGTACACACACACACACGCCTTGGTTTTACTCTTATATAAGGCATAGGTTTGATAATTTTGGAGTGAGCACCATAGACTAGGTCCTTTTATTTGCATGGAGTGTTTGTGCAGATTTAGTTTGACAATGGGACTAATTACGCTCTAATTATGACGATTTAAACATATTAAAGACATTTTCCTTAATATGTTCTCAATGTATCAATAATAATATCTATAATATTATAGAAATATACTGACACAAATAGGTGAGTATACACACACACACACACACATATATATATATATATATATATATATATATATATATATATATATATATATATATATATATATATATATATATATATATATGTCGTACCTAATAGCCAGAACGCACTTCTCAGCCTACTATTCAAGGCCCGATTTGCCTAATAAGCCAAGTTTTCATGAATTAATGTTTTTTCGTCTACCTAACCTACCTAACCTAACCTAACCTAGCTTTTTTTGGCTACCTAACCTAACCTTACCTATAAATATAGGTTAGGTTAGGTTAGGTAGGGTTGGTTAGATTCGGTCATATATCTACGTTAATTTTAACTCCAATAAAAAAAAATTGACCTCATACATAGAGAAAAGGGTTGCTTTATCATTTCATAAGAAAAAAATTAGAGAAAATATATTAATTAAGGAAAACTTGGCTTATTAGGCAAATTAGGCCTTGCATAGTAGGCTGAGAAGTGCGTTCTGGCTACTAGGTACGACATATATATATATATATATATATATATACATATATAGGTCGATATAAGGAGCGGTTTCCTCATATGGGCCTTGTACAATTTCCTTAATATGATGTCCAAACCACACTCCAGAAGATGAAGAGACGACGACGTTTCGGTCCGTCCTGATCCATTATTAAGTCTATTGTGGTCCATTTAAGTCCACAATAGACTTGATATTGTAGTCCTTAATAAAACATATTAAAGACATTTTCCTTAATATGTTCTTAAATATGTTCTCAATGTATCAATAATAAGTTCTATAATATTATTCATAATAATTATTATTTTATTTATACAAAAATTATAGTTTAGACAGTAAGTCAAAATAACGTGGGTGAAAATTAGACACCCAACCCACACGTCTGAAAATATAGGAAGTGGTGACATGATCCGTCCAGGATTTTCAGATGTGTGTTTTGGGTGTCTTAATAATATATATTTATTATATTGCATTGTATGTGTACATGGTACTGCATAACAGTATTTGTTTTAAGGCTTCTAGTCAACCTCAGCATGTCCTTTCTAATACAGTTTTCATACAACGTACAGTACAGTAAAACCACGAGTCCATGCCACGTTAAGACCTCTGAATGATAGCTATTCGGGTCTGGCAGGAATAACTTAGTTAACTGCCAAGCATGTCGACTATTCTAGGAAAGTATATGAATTTACCACCTTAAGAACAAGTACGCTCATCAAAACAAATCAAAACACGTTATAATGTATCTCCTACAAATTCCGGAGCATTTACTCAACAGAATATAGCGAGTTCTTGCCTAATAATATGTCGCAACAACATTTGAATACGAAGGAAATCGTTTCGATTTGGTAAGAGTGAGAGCGGAGTCAGTGGGAAATCCCACAGGAGATGGGCTGGCTGGCTGGCTGCTGGCCCGGCATTTGTGTAAAAGAGTCCGTGCTCTAAAATGGGTGACGGTAAGTGTATACGTTTGTGTGAGCGTGCATGTATTGATTTCTGGCACACACACACATCATTAAACTAGAAAATGTGCAAAGGTATGCAACTAAACGGCTTTTGGAAATGAAATACAAGAGTTACGATAAGAGGTTGAGGTGTTAAATAAGTAGAATATAGAAGAAAAAGAAGTGACATGATCACTACGTACAAAATAGTAACAAAAATCGACAAAAGTGACAGATAATAATTTCTGAAAACTGGAACTTTCTTCTGCAATGACAAGTACAAGAGGACATAGGTTCAAACTAAGGAAACAAAGCTGTAGAACAAATATTACAAAGTTCACTTTTGCAAACATAGTGATAGACGGTTGGAATAAGTACACCATCTTTGATAAATGGTTCACTGGCTAGACGTTTGGTTTTAGCTTTATTGTTGTATAAAAAGGTGATAGGAACACGTCCACTAACACGTTTCGAGTGGATCTCGAACCCTCAGCTCAGAGACATTCCGCTTCCCAGGATATGATCCATATCAGTGACACGACATATATATCCCTATGTTATATCACACAAATTAATTATTAATTTTAATATTTATGTCTGTTTCTTACCACACAAAGAAATGTGTTAGCCAATTACTCATTATTCTACGAGTAAAAGTGATGATAACCAGTTTTCTTTTTTTCAATAATCATATGATAATTGTATAATTATATCAAGTACTAATATCCAAATATAAAAATGCTATTGTTTTAGTTTATAATAACTACTAGCTAACGTTTTTGATTGTCAGAATTATGAAATATATTAATATTCTGAACTTTTATACTAGCTGAAGTGATACATACTTGACACTTATAAATAAATGATATAGCCTTGACAGGTTTAAGTATAGGGGAGAGCTTTGACAGGTTTAAGTATAGGAGAGAGCCTTGACACATTTAAATAAATAAGAGAGCCTTGACAGTTATAAGTTAATGATATAGCCTTGACATGTATAGGTAAATGATAGAGCCTTGAAATATATGAGTGAATGATAAAGCTTTGGCTGGCATAAATTAAAGATTGAGCCTTAATAGGTGTATACAATAATAGAGCTTCGACAGGTTTAAGTATGCTATAGAGCCTTGATAAGTATACATAAAGATAGAGTCAAAGGCATAAACGTTAAAGCCTTGACAAGAATAAGTAAATGGCAACGCCTTGACAGGTATAAGCTAATGATAGAGCCTTGACTGGAATAAGTTAATGATAGAGCCTTGACAGGTATAAGCTAATGATAGAGCCTTGACTGGAATAAGTTAATGATAGAGCATTGAAAGGTATGTTAGTGATGGAGCTTTGCATTGACAGGTATACATGATAGAGCTTTGCTTTGACAGGTAAACATGATATAGCCTTGCTTTGAATGGAATACATGATAGAGCCTTGCCTTGACAGGTATACATGATAGAGCCTTGCCTTGACAGGTATACATGATAGAGCCTTGTCTTGACAGGTATACATGATAGAGCCTTGCCTTGACAGGTATACATGATAGAGCCTTGCCTTGACAGGTATACATGATAGAGCCTTGTCTTGACAGGTATACATGATAGAGCCTTGCCTTGACAGGTATACATGATAGAGTCTTGCCTTGACAGGTATACATGATAGAATCTTGCCATGACAGTATACACGATAGAGCCTTGCCTTGACAGGTATACATGATAGATCCTTGCCTTGGCATGTATAAGTAAATCACAGAGCCTTGCCTTGGCATGTATAAGTAAATCACAGAGCCTTGCCTTAACAGGTTTAAGTCATTGATAGAGGCAAGACTTATATAAGTTAATGATAGAACTTTGATAAGTTTAAATGATTGAGCCTGACAGTTTTCAGTAAATGATTGAATCTAGATCGATAAAAATTAATAACAGATCCTTTACTTAGCAAGTATAAGTAAATTATAGATCCTTGAGAGGAGAGGTTTAAGTGAATGATAAAGCCATAATAAGTATAAGTAAATGATAAAGCCTTGACCATCATGTAGTAGTCGAAATTCAACATTGGCTGTTTCTTATCTCCAGCAGATTTAAGGCAGTCGAGTTTTTGCTGGGTAGCCATATTTATGTGTCCTTAAATGAGTGCTGAACGCTGCCACTAAGGAGGCTATCTGCACTTGTCTTATTTCCCCCCCAAATTGTTCCTTATTCCGATATCAACCCAGCTATTCATTTCTCAATCCGTGCTCGCTGGCACGGTCGTTGGTCTTCTGTTACCGGTAACAAACTGCGTGCTTTGAAGGGTAGCGTGTCCCCATGGCCTTCTTCCTACCACCGTAACCGGCGGTGGGAAATGGCTCTGGCGAGGTTACGTATTGGCCATACACGTTTAACTTACAGGCACTTAATGAAGCGCCGCCCTGCTCCTTATTGTCCAATCTGCATTGTCCCTCTTACGGTCGTGCATATCCTTGTTGCATGTCCAGACTTCCAGGATGTGTATGTGTGTGTCTTGCTTTCGGACCGTCCCTCGCTGTCATTTGTCCCTCGATAGAATCGTTGGTGACTCACATACCTTCGATACTGCTCGCTTGATGCGCTTTTGTTCTCGTATTTGCATCCTTAGTGACATTTAACCCCTTCTGAATATCCTGCACTTTGATGGTGCTACATTGTTTTCCCGGCTTGGCACCTTTTGATAATTACTTACATGACAAGTATGAGTAAATAATAGAGCCTTGACCGGTGTAAGTAAATTATAGAGCCTTTGCCAAATATAAGTTTAAGATTGTTTTTTAAATGTTATAAGTAAATGATAAAGCCTCAACAATTATAAGTAAGCCCGAAACGCTTTGCGTAATAGTGGCTTTAGGCATTGTATGTACTAGCTCTATCTATAAATCCATCGACTTTTGTATCTTACCTTGTATGTATGTACTTTACCTGAATAAATATTTATATTTGTATTTGTAATAGAGCCTTGACCGGTATAAGTAAACGATAAAGCCTTAATCGGTGTAAGTAAATGATAGAGCTTTGACCAATATAAGCTAATAATAGAGCCTTGGGCGGTAAAAGTATTATAGAGCCTTGACTGATATAAGTAAATTATAGAGCTTTGACAAGTAAAAGTAAATGATATGAGCTTTGACCAGTATAAATATATGATAGCCTTGACGATAGCCATAAGTGAATGATAGAGCCTTCACCTGTGTAAGTAAATGATGGCGCCTTGTCAGGTATAAGAAAATGATAGGGCCTCTATTTTACAAGTATAAGTAATTTATACAGTCTTCATAGGTATAAAATAATAAATAACTTAACAGGTAGAATTAAATAAAACTTGCTTTGATCTTTCATCAAATATATATTTATATTCTCATACAATTTATAATTGTGTAACGTTTTCATGTATTCTTATCAGTATGAGTTATTTTACATTAATTAAGATGATTCTAGATATTCAGTGTAATCATCAGTTACTCATATTACTATGTAAATAAATAATATATTAACTTTGTTTTACCACATTAATAGTGGATATTCCTCATAACTGAGGCATTAACGTGTTTGTCTTTATTTACACTGAATATAAGTCAAAGTAATGACTTAAACTGCAGATTCTTCAACCTCCTGTTGGGCCTTGCGGAACTTGGCCAAGTTCAGGGCGGCGATCTCCTCGGCCTCCTCGATCTGGCGCTTGTAGGTCTTGATCTTCTGTTGAAGCTTGTCAACAAGGTCCTGCATCCTCTCGTGGTTCTTCTTGTCCTCGTCGGACTGGAAGGTGAGCTCCTTGATGCGCCTCTCACACTTCCTCAGGTTCTTCTGGGCATCAGAATGACGGCGGGCCTCATCGTCGAGCTGGCCTTCCAGTTCGCGGACACGACCCTCCAACTTGCCAACAGACTTCTTGCTAGTCTTCACGGCAAAGCTTTCGCTGTCCTCAAGCTTAACTTGGAGTTCCTTGACAGATACTTCCAGGCTCTTGCGCACCTTCTCCAGATTCTGGGCGTGTTCCTGCTCACCGCGGAGCTCATCAGCCAGGCGGGCGGCGTCAACCATGGCCTTCTTGGCCTTGTCCTCGGAGTTCTTGGCCTCGTTCAACATGTCCTCGTAATCAGCCTGATATAGAAATATGAATAAATATGTAGCCAAATATTCCTGTCAATATCCATTATTATTCTTTCCATCGCATATTGCTTTTCACACACACACACACACACACACACACACACACACACACACACACACACACACACACACACACACACACACACACACACACACTTGTATATATCATGAATTTAATACTAAAATTAAGTGAGGAATCTAGACTCTAGGTAATTATCACAGTATAAACTAGACAAGAAAAGACCGTGAGAATGTTAAAAGAAGGCCTTACTTTACGTCTTCTTGGCAACATTAGCTTCTGTTAATTTGAATGATTCGATATATTCAAAATCGTTACACGGATCTTGAAATAACAAAAGCACCCTTGCACTTATCCATGTTTATACCTATTTCCTAAAGTCTAGTGCTACTTAAGTCTAAACTCTTTAGTTTGATCAAAGTTTATGTTTAAAATAAGTTTTTGAAGAGTAATAATAGCGAACCTAACCGAAAAAGTTTTGTCATGCAAATATAACAATTCTAATAACAAATATTTAAGTAATGCTTACGTGAAGAGTCTGCCATTCGCCTTCAAGCTTCCTCTTAGCAATGGAAACGGTATTATATTGGGCACTGAGGTTGCTGTACTGCTCATTTGCGTCAGTAAGATCAGACTCTGCTTGACGACGGCCACGGTCGGACTGTTCAAGAAGAGTTCTTGATTCTTCTAGCTCACCGTGGAGAGAATTAGCGCGGCGTTCAGATATGGCATATTGTTCACGGTATTCTGAAGCGAGACGCTGTTCATCTTCGGCCTTTGCTTGTGTGTCCTTTAGTTCGTTCTGAAGCTTCTTGAAACTCTTTTGTAGGTCAGTATATGCCTTGCTTGAATGGTCAAGAGAGATTTCGAGTTCACTGATGTCAGACTCGAGCTTTTTCTTCAGGCGGAGAGCCTCAGCCTTACCCTTTGCCTCTGCCTCGAGGGAACCTTGCATGGACTCGAGAGCCCGGATGTGACACTTACTGAAATCAAAAACAAAAATTTGATACATTTGTATAATACATTTTATTAATTTGTAGTGTAAAAGTACACTACTTTTAGTGTAGATATTCTGAATTCATTAAGAAAACTGATAATACCAAAGTGAAAGTGCTACCTATGTTAAACCCAGAAAAATTCATTACATACCGAATATTGTCAAACTCCTCTTCTTTCTCCTGAATTCGTTTGTCGATTTCTTGTCTAACCTGGCTTAGTTCAAGTTGACCACGAAGTACCTTGTTCTCCTCCTGTTCAAGAGCAGATTCGGCCTCCTCAAGAGCTGCCTGAAGTTCTTCTTTCTCGATCTCAAGACGTTTGACGTTCTTCGTAAGATCATGGTAGTTTCGGCCACCATCGCCAATCTGATCTATCAGGTCCTTGATCTCATCAGCTAAGTTTTTGTTCTCGCGGCGAACAGTGTCGAGGTGTTCAAGATTTTCTTCGTAGGCTGCCCTAACGCGGAAGTGTTCTGTCGAGTAGTTGCGGCATTCTTTCTGAGAAGCATCGAGTTCAGCAGCAAGATCGTCAACCTTCAACTTCCATTCGGAAATTATTCTATCGAAGTTCTTCTGTTTCTTTTCTGCAGCCTGAGCTAACGCTTCAGCACGTTCAATTGCAATCAACGTTTCATCGTAGTCTGCACCAAGTTTCTCCTTTGATTTCTCCAAGGCTAGGTTCTTCACGTTGAGTTGTTCAATCTGAGCTTCGGCTTCTTCAAGACGTGCAGCAAGCTTTAATCGGGAAGCTTCAATCTCCTCTGCCCGGGCAACACCCTCTGACTCATATTTCGAGCGCCACATTTGGGATTCAGCATTAGCTTTGGTCAGCTGGCGCTGTAAGTCAGTCTTGCTCTCACTCTCTTCATCTAGTTGTTCTCGGAGGCCATCAATGTCATGCTCCAAGTTGCGATACTTTCCAAGAAGAATTGCACGTTCCTATGGGAGGCAAAATATTTACACTTAAAATGTGAAAATATCAGTGGATAGACTATTGCTCTAATTTTATAAAATTTTAAATGTGTAAGAATTTTAAAAGTGCATATTCAGTCCGTTCTCACGAGCGTTCCCAACGTCAAGAAGTTGTCGTGCTCTAGTGTCCTAACCTAACCAACCAGAGCACCCACAGATAGAAAACTGGACTTTATATTAATATCGTGAGCCCCTGCCGTTTTCTTGTACATCAGTGTTTGACCTTTAGTAAAATATACGTCAAAATGCGACGTGCTATAAAGAGGACAGGTTGGGATAATAGGTCTCTGCAAGGCGAGATGGATCTCCTTTTATCATATGTTTATGAATAATGTTATCTGAAAACTTTGGAGTAAAGAGCTCATTCATTTAGCGTTATAAAATTACATTTTAACTTGAAAATATTGATAGAATAATTATTTGTTACAGGTAGGAAAATATATTAAATGTCTGAAGATGATAGTAGATGCAAGTACTTACTTTGCTGTCCTCATCGGCGACCTTTTTGGAATCGTCAAGTTGAGAATGAAGAGAGACTTTAATCTTAGACAACTGTCCCAATTGGTTTTCAGCCTCTTCAAGCTGGCGTAGAAGATCAGCATTTTCAATTGCAAGCTTTTTCTTCCCGGCGTCAAAGTCATTGAGAGTCCGGGTGGATTCTTCAAACTTGGCATTAAGTTCAGCTATTTGCTGCTGGAATTGTTTCAATGACTTCTCTGCAGCAGCCTAGAAATTTAGTGAAAATTAATAAAAAAAATCTAATTGTTTTCTTATATATTGAGTAGAATTATTGAATAGAATATTTAGTATATAATATATGTATATGACGTATTTCGTCAGGTAAATTCTTACCTGACGAAATACGTCTACACAAACAATTTATCATTAAATATCATATATTACTAATAAGTAATATCTAATAGTAAAAAAATACATTTTGTTTACCTTGTCTCGGGTAAGACCGTCCATGGCTGATTTGGCATCATCTGCCTCACGCTTCAGAGTATTCTTCTCTTTTTCAATCCTGCAAATATTGAATGGTTGTGTTAGTCCTGAGAGCTTATTAAGTATTTAGTTTCTCGTTATTGAGATCAATATTACGTTATATATTTCCTAGTAATTCTTACTGCATAATACATGGCAACCATGTGAGAACTACTCAGTTGCTTACTTTGCCTTCGTCTTGTTGAGGTGGTCGACCTGTTCTGACATTTCAGCGACGGCATCATTATGCTTCTTACGAAGAAGATTAAGAGCAGAATCATGCTGGATGGTCGTCTCCTCGAGGTCGCGGCGGAGTTTGGCCAGTTCTGCTTCACGCTTCTTATTCAGCTCCACCTGGGCAGCGGTGGCTCCACCAGCTTCGTCCAGACGATCTGTGAGTTCTGAAAGCTCACGAGCAAGACTGCTCTTTCCCTTTTCAGCCTTCGCACGGGCTTGACGCTCATGTTCAACCTCCTGTTCGAGCTCCTCAATTCGGGACTGCTGCTCTCTTATCTGCCTCTGGACCTTCGAAAGCGCACCCTGATCATCCTCGAGCTTGCTAGCAAGTGCAACGTACTCCTTATCTTTTCGTTGGATAGTACTTTCAATATCCTTATAATTTCGTTCTAAGTCAACCACAGCCTCTTGAGTGAGCTTAAGGTCTCCTTCAACTTTCCTCTTGTTCTTCTCCACGTCACTACGCAGTTTCTTTTCCCGCTCCAGTGAGTCCTCAAGCTCATCCAGGGTTTGCTCGAGCTTTGTCTTAATGTTGTGGAGATGATTGCATTTGTCTTCAATTCCCTGGAATTCATCAGAAGCCTTTTGGCCAAGCTCTTGAAGATGCTTCTTTTCCTTGTTTGCCTTGTTAAGGAGTTCTTCCTGGTGTGCAATTTCTTCTGTAATGTTGTGAATTTGATGGTCCCTGGCAGCTTTATCTTGTTCTGCCTTCTGCAGTGAAAGTTCCATATCTTCAAAGTCCCTTCTCATGTTTCCAATTTCTTGTTCGGTCTGTTTCTTCTCTAGGGATAGTGATCCACGTGCTTCCTCTTCCTTCACAAGACGCTCGCTAATTTCCTGAAAAGAGTAATAAACACAAATATAATAAATAGAAAACATAATTCATAATAACTGCGAATATATATCCATAAATCATATATAATTAATATATATGAGAAGTATATTGCTGAATTTTTTAACAATGTTTATTGAACGAAATTTAGGTAGTGGGATTAAAAATTTGTGCCTGTTTTTTGATTCGCAAACGTCTACTATTTTATGTTAATGATTCGTTTCATTGGTGACAGAAAACCCCGTGTATATACTTTAGGCTTGTATAGAGGCCCTTTCCCTAGGTCGAATAACTGATTTTCCACAAGATGTAACATCACTACAATTGCAGAGTTACCAAGACCCCCGATGTTATACTTACATTAAACTGAACTTCTAGCTCATGCTTTTGAGATTGAAGTTTGGCCTGTTTGTCAAGGAACTCTGACATATTGCCCTTGGTAGATTCAAGAGCAGTCAGCATGTTATTCTTTTCTTCTTGAAGAGTAGCAATAGCAGCTTCCAAATCCTGGCGAGCCTTTAATTCGTTGTCATAGTCTTCCTGGGCTTTAAGGGCTTTCTGTTTCAGCTCATAAATTACGTCTTCAATACGAGTAACATGAAGAAGGGGCTTGACCTTCTGCCAAAGGTTAAACCAGACCCAGGACTGCATTGAAAGGAACTTCCTTAGGTTGCGTTGAACAACAACGAGAGAAACGCGCTGCTCTTGAAGTCTTCCGAATTCCCTTCTGCCGGTGAAGCCACGGATCCATGATTGGATCCAGGTGATAATCTTACCCAAGCGGGCATCTCGGATCTCCTCCAAAGTACCCAGGACACCAGCTCGGAAGAACACCTGAAAATAGTTAGAGATTTATGAATCATAGTTAATCCATTTCAAGTCAAGATTTTATTATTAAGCTTTCACTAGCCAGTTTTTTATTTACTATCATAGAAATTGCTTGTAAATTATCCAGTATGAATCAGTATTAAACATTTTAAGACAAGTTAAAACAAATCCATCATTCGGGGTTAAGAAATTGTTAAATTAAAATCAAAACTTGCTTAAGTTTTGCTTTAAAAGATTACAGCTAGCACAAGTATATTACCATGTAACAAATTAAACTTAATAATTTAATTTACCTTCGTGTTACCCAAGCGGTAGAGTTCCTCGTCGAGACCGGACTTGTCGAAGCAAGCCTTAGCAGCCGCCTTCGAGTCAGATATCTCAGTCATCTCCTTAGAAGCCAGGATCTTGTAGCTGTAATTGAACGAGTATATATAACCAATTCACTTAATTTTTTTCTGTACGAGAAAGCATTATGGAAATCCAGCATGACACTATTACATTGGATGTTTGAAACTGAAGCAATAAATTTTACATTTTAGTCCAGATTTAGCTACAACCTGAAATAATGATCTATTTGTAATATTGTTTTTACCAATACTCACCGGTGCCTAAAGTCAGGGTAGACCATCCTGTTGGGGAAGCCCTTACGACAGATACGGATGCCCTCAAGCACACCGTTACAGGTGAGCTGATGCATGATAAGGCCGGCCTCAGTCACACCTGAAGAAAGAAGTGTACACGGTCTTAAACATGATCGAATGTTCTAATACATTATCTTGTATTAAATAAGCTCGGTTACTCATTTAATACAAATCTGAAATCCGTATAAATTACTGTCAGGTACTACTGCTGATAACAAAACTGAATTATTGATAAACTTACTACAATGCAATAGTGCTTGAAGGAAGGTCTTTCCTTCACCATCAGTGAATTATTATTGAACTAAATTTAGTTAATATCTGACCTTTCACATTTATTTACAGGAAGAACTTGGAAAGAGCATTTACTAAGGCAATTCAGTGAAATAATGTTTTATGAACAAAGATAACTTTTATATAGAACGATTAAACTATCTTCATGAAAGCCTTTTACACTGCCAATAACGATGCAGACTGAATAGTGAGTGACCCTACTAATAATCTGCAGTATTGGTCTCGTTGGGGACGATACAGTGTTTATATGAGGCTACCTACCTGGGGACTTGGTCTCGTTGGGGACGATACAGTGTTTATATGAGGCTACCTACCTGGGGACTTGGTCTCGTTGGGGACGATGCATCGGATGAAGTGGGGGTGAGTAGAGTTCAGGGTCCTCATCAAGTTATTGAGCTGGTCCTGTGGCAGGGAACAGAGCGCCAATAATTAGTAAACTAATCAGCCAGGAATAATACAGTTGCATGAGGCCCTGTTACAAGTATTATTGATGTAATAAACAAAACATACTGATCACGTATTTTGTTTCTATTTTCGAGTTATACCCAGTCTTTCCGTGGCTTTTGTAATAAGAATTCTACTCAAAACTTTTGAAAGTAAAATATTTTATATATGCATTATTTATAATGCCTCGAATAAAGGTTTTATATTTCAATACATGTTTGTCCATTTGAAATTAGACATATTTTAATATTATTTATTTAAAAATTAATTCCAAATGATGTGATGTACTATTTATATTATATTTTGTAATTGATTAAAGTCCAGCCATAGGTAAAAGCAAATAAAACCTACCCTGTATCCAGAAGACACTGTCTTGAAGGAGCCAGATTTCTTACCGCCTAAAAGAGATAAAAGTTTTAGAAACTTGCATTTGAAATTATATTTTATTATGAATGTTTTTTCTCAGGGTATTAATTTTAGCTGGTCTAGTCAAAATCATTTGCCTAGCAATATATGGATTCAAGAGATGAGAACAGAATAACGGGAAACTTTTGCTTAGTTCCACTGATGCCATTACAGAAAACAGTGACTGCCGGAAGCATCTCAGTCATCAGGATAGTAGGACCAAGTACTCTGTGGAAAGATAAATGAATAATTAACTTTGCTTCTAAACCCGGAAGTGAAAGTGTATAGTGCATTCAGCTTTTTACAAATGAAAGAAGTGTATATTTATTAATCATTTTATATTCCCTGTCATCTTATGTTTAATATGTAGTACGTAATTTCTACATTCAATTTCTGATAATTTCATTATCATTCAAGTCATTTGAATGATAATGACAAGTAAAAAATTCAATGTTGGAAAATTATTTCTACCGTTTTTGCACGGAGCGTTGTCGAAATAGCTGTATAAAAATAAGAAATACTTACCACCTTTGCCTCCGCCAGATTCAGCAGGACCTGACTGTCCAGGATGGTCAGCGAAGATGGTAACGATAAGCTCGTTGGAGGACTTCTTGAGCTGGTCGACGACGGTGTCGTTGAGAGGATCCTTGTTCTTCTCCAGCCAGCCCGCCAAGTTGTAAGTGACAGTACCGGCGTAGTGAACAATGGCGAAGTGGCCCTCGACCTCGCCGGGCTTGGGTGGCTTGGGCTTGATGAACACGGGAGATTTTCCCAGATGGTTGGCGTTCAACTTCTCCTGGAAGGACTTGTCGGTAGCCTTGGGGAACATAGATTCTTCCTCTAGGATGGAGAGAAGACCCATTTTCTGTCGAAATCACGAATAAAAGTTAGTGAATGTGACATACAAAAATGTAAAACTAAATAAATTTCATAATATCATTTTTCACAGCTGTCATTCTTGTTTTAGAGACTTACCTTCTCGAAGAGCTCGATGCAGGCTTGCAGGTCCATACCGAAGTCGACGAAGACCCAGTTGATACCTTCCTTCTTGTACTCCTCTTGTTCCAGCACAAACATGTGATGGTTGAAGAACTGCTGCAGCTTCTCGTTACAGAAGTTGATACAGATCTGCTCGAAGCCGTTGTACTGTTCGGGGCAACCAAGAATCATTTATAACAAGAGAGAATTTGTGTGGGTTTCCATTTCAAATTCTTAGTGAACATATTTTCAGTTGAATCATCTGAACACTCCATTTTGAACATGTTAATATAAGTAAGTTCAATTTATATAATAATATTTTTTTACGCAAATATATACTCTATATACCGTGACAATACAAATGGAAAGAAGAAACATGATGGAAGACACTTACGTCGAAGATCTCGAAGCCGGCAATGTCGAGCACACCAATAAAGGAATGACGTTTTTGGCCAGTCTCCAGGGTCTTGTTACACTTTACTACCAGCCACTTGAAGACACGATCGAACAGACCCTTAGCCAGGGCACCAACTGAGTAGTTACACTGATTCACGTTCATACCCTTGGATACAAACTCAGAACCGACCTTGATCTTAGGCTTGGTAATGTTCCTGTACAGGTCATCACCGGTAACACCGAGCAACTTTGCTACAATGTCACCAGTCTGTAAAGGAAGAATGAATTTAGCGTATACTTTGGTTGTTACCATACATGCATAATTGCATTCTTGTTTTCCAGGAGAAGGCTACTGTCAATAAGGTATGACAGCTATCAGGAGAAAACACTAAATCAGTATGACTTGTTGAACGCTTGGAAGGGAATTAAGTAGCTTTAATGATATTTACTCTACATATACATTCAAATAATAGAGGAAACTGTATACCTCAGTGCCGTCGGCTTCAGCCTGCTCATCGCGACCCTTCTGTTTGAATTTCATCTCACCCATGTGCATGACAGCGGCGGTGACTCTGTAGACCTCTTCAACATCTTGAGGAGTGAAGCCAAGAATGTCGAAGGCGTCCTGGAGGAGAGCAGACACGCGGAACATCAGTCACCATGGAATTATCATGTCGTCACACATTTTCACAAATCAGTATAAACCTTCAACATGCTTCATTATGTAAAGAAATTACAAAATAAATAGGATATGGTAAAACCTCTGCATAAATTGTATGGAAACTCCATCAACGTTTACCAACGGATGAATCTAATGACAACTAATTCTCAGCTCGGTGTTAAATTCCTAATACAAGAGTTAACTCACCAGAAATGAACAACACAAAATTAGATTGTGATATATCTGATGATGTAGCTGTCGAGAAATTGTTTTAGAATATAACTGGTATTGAATTTTGTTAAAAAATTAAATTTACACAATTGTTTATATATATATATATATATATATATATATATATATATATATATATATATATATATATATATATATATATATATATATATATATATATGTATATATGTGTGTGTGTGTGTAAGGTGCAGAGACCTGCCATGGAATAACGTATGGCAGTAGAGTTGTCGTCAGCAGGTAAACACAAGAAGAAGAAGACGGGATAAGTCAGCATCTGGTCACCTGTACCGGATTCAGATATTTTTTTTGTTTAAAGAGGAAAATATGTCGCACGTTGCCGCTCGTATCTTCTATGATACTGTTGCCTTTTGAGAAGTAGTGGACAGTGAGGGACAGAGAAATGACATGCTTTTATCTGTTTTGTTTGTACTGTTCGTCTGATTTCCTTTTCAGATCTGAACAGTGAAAGGGATCATTGATAAATTTTAGTATTTGTGTGGAGATAAATCTTAGTATATGTATAAATGTAAAATACAAAGTATAACAACAGTAAGATCTACCCAATCGATATTAGTCCCCCAACATATCGATTGTAAGGTTTGTATTCTAATACTGAAAGCACTCACACCGGTGTTTGGGCCGGATTGATACGCCTAGTTAAACCACTCACGTGACAGAACTGCATGTCTTCGCCGTCATCAATGGAGGGGACGGTGACCTTGCCCTGAGACACGTAGTGATAATCGTAGATGTCGTTGCTAAGGTAACACAGGGCTGCAGATGGGAGTAAACATGTAGGCAATGGGACCAAATGGTGGAGATTCTTCCTGTGTACTTTTTGTTTTGTTTTTGGTGATATTATGTTTTGATGGGATATTTTTAAATTTTGTGAGCGAGAGTAGACGCCTCATATGTAGTAAGGAGATGCACCATATATGTGGTGAGTGAGAAGACACGCCTCAAATGTATTAAGTGTTGCGACACACGTCAAATGAGACGAAAACTAGGAGCAAAATGTGCAAATATTAATTCCCATTTATGTGCACATAATTTGTCTCGCTTGTTAATGAAAAATTGTAATATTGAAGTTCAATAAACGTGAAAATTATAATTGTTATGGTATATTACGACCCAGTTTATCTACGTTAGTATATACATTCTCAACACCAAATATTGTTATAGCATTGACTTTATATCCGCACGAATTGCCAGTACGCGTATAAAGTAAATTAAAAATATTTCTACCTAGTATGAAGTGATTTTACGACTTTTAGATGATACAATATTGTCGTTGTTTCCACAAGGCAGTGTTTACGTGACGTTATATTGAATAATGATTTTTCCAGACGATTTAAGTAATTTTGAAATGAAAGAAATGCCTCACAAGTATTATTGTGTCACTGACTTTGTTTTCAAAATGATAGAGGCTTTCAAATAGTGGGAACCATTTTCATTTAAGTGGGAATATAATATTTCATACTTTAAGTTTTGTTTTGCACTTTGTTTTCATAAAATTCACCCTAGATATTTTGTAGGTGTATAGAGGTAAAATATGAAATATATTTGTGATTAATAATCATATTCTCCAATCATGTTAAACAACACTTACGTTTAATTGTCTTGATTTGGTCTGACATCAACTCGTAGAAGATATGGTAGGAGCGTTCAGCAGGTTGCTGGGAGATGACGCGAGCCTTCTCCAGCAGGTAGACCTCAATGTCAGCACCTGATAGCTTGCCGCTGGCTTGGAAGTGGATACGGATGAACTTACCCTGTGTTAAGGACAGATAATCCATCACTAATCAAGAAAGATAAAACATATCAAACGTCACAAGTTAGTTTAATTTGTAAATATATCAGCACTAATATTCTTGGTGTTTAAGAGCAGTGAGTAAGAGGAACTTACGAAGCGGGAAGAGTTGTCGTTACGGGTGGTCTTGGCGTTACCGAAAGCTTCCAGGACAGGGTTGGTCTGGATGATCTGGTCCTCCAGGTTCTGAAGTGAGAGAGATGCTTTGTTATCTCTTGTATAACAAGAGTTCACAAAATGTTTGTAAATATAGCACGACTTGTGGTAAGGAATAATGTGTGTCCAGAGTCCTTCTCTTGGGACAAAGGGGTGCAGCAAGGAGCAGTTTTCATGTCTTATTTTGTTTTCCGTATACTATATTTCTAGTAATAAATTGATATGATTTTTTCTCTTGCGGTGTTCGGTTGTCACGCTTTAAAACCTGCAAACTGTTTTGGGTATGAAGATGATATCGGCATGAATTAAATCTAATATTTGATCTTAGTAGTTGTGCACTAAGTTTTTGTCCATTTATTGGTAGTTAATGTAGAGTTGAAATTAGAAAGGAAATCTTTGGTACTTACAGCCTTCTCAACTTCTCCCTTCTTCTTGGTGGTGGCGCCGACGTTGGCGAAGTAGGAGAGTACCTTCTTGGTGTTCTCAGTCTTGCCGGCACCGGACTCACCGCTGTGGGAGAGAAATAGAAAATTAGAATTACAGGGACAAAATTATATAGAAGAGTACAAATGATATTGTAGAGTATGTGATACTAAGTACTTCAACATTGTCTACTTACAAATCTTTATTTTTTTTTATCATTTATAGCGAATGGAAAGTAATTTGGATAGTGACATTTAAACTTTTCTTTGTCCATCCTCATAAGCTAATAATATTTTAGTACATAGATGAATAATAGAATCAGGGTATATGAACGTACAAGTTTTATTGAACTTACGTGATAAGCATAGACTGGTTCTCGCCATCTGTTAAGAAAGAGAATAATTATATCACTTTAGTTTCTGTGTTTATATTCCAAGGTTATTAATCTATGATAGTATTTTACAGTTTTGGGGTAACATAAGTGAAACCATAAATGTCTGTGACAGTCTCTTTTTCTAATACTAAAATAATAACTGATACACTCACCTTGCAGCATGTTCATGTAGGCGCCGTCAGCGATAGCGAAGAGATGGGGAGGCACCTCATTACGCCTCTTGCCTTGGTAGATTTTGACTGCGCGGTTGGTGTAGATGGGGTAGCGCTTGTAGGGGTTGATGGCGATACAGAAGAGACCGGAGTAGGTGTAGATGAGCTTAGCGACGTAACGGGACTTCAAGTTGTAGAGGACGGAGGCATCGTTAAGGTAGGTCAAGTTGGACATGTCCTCGCATTTCTCGTACTTGGGAGGGTTGACCTGACCGACCAGATCCTTCTTCCAGTCCTTGGTCTCGCCACCAGCATAGACGGTGATAAGATCGCCCTTGGTGCCTTGAATCTCACCCTCGATGTAGCCCTCTTTGGGGTCAGGTACCCAACAGGACTTCTTGGCGTCGTAAGGCTTGGTGGCGTCCTGCATCTTCATCTCGATGGAGATGAACAAGAACTCGGTGGGATCAGGGTCGGGACCCGTGGATTTCTTTACGTGGCCGGGCATGTTGGTGGTGAATGCCTAAAGTCGTCTAATTCTCAAATATCGAATAACCTTGTCAGGATGTTTCTGCAACGAAAGTGAAAATATCATTAATATATATCATCAGTTAAAGCTATTTTTTTTAGCTGCTAGTTACGAAAATGTAATTGGTTTCTTGCGTTATGTTTAGCGTACACTAGCAGACAGCAAACATACAGCCCTACGATATGAGGTCGACTAGGTAGATCAGTGGACGTGATGTTGGGTGGTGGTGCTAGTAAGGGTCTGTGCTTACACTACAATCAATACTCAAGTTACAAAAATAAAATAGATCAATGCTTCTAGAATGGATCATCTTTATATTATGGTAGGAGCAGTCTACACTACACCTCTCGCCTCAATCAACCAGTGAAAATGCAAGTCCAGTTTACAAGGTCCTCTCGACAGGGGAACAGCTTCTCATCTCATCACAATCGCATAGAATATATATATTGCTGTTTTTCTCACTTTTTCTGTGCCTTTTAAGATGCTAAGTTGCACCTTAGCGGAAGGCATCAAACTACTGAAACACGTAAATTATACCAGCCACTTGAAACTTCAAGAAAAAAATCATTCTTTCTGAAGATGTATTAATATACGAGTACTTAAGGAAATTCCTGTTTCAATTCTTCCTCCGTGGACTGACACTGTCACATTTTTCATCACGTGTTTATTTTCGTGATTTACACACACACACATATATATATATATATATATATATATATATATATATATATATATATATATGCATATTCTGTGTTGATTATTTTCTTGTTTAGCTCTTCTATCCCTGTGACTAGTGCTCATGCATCTTGGCTTAATTGGAAGAGGAGTTCTCCAAATGTCATCTTTATTCGAGGTAAACTAAAGGAATAATTAACTGTAGATGTCATGTTACATTAAATGTTCAACAGCTAATTATTCTTTTAGTTTACCTCGAACAAAAGTGAAATTGGGAGAAATCCTGCATTACATGTAACTGTTATTTCAACACAAATCCTACAATTCAGATTGAAATATTAAGGCGTTCCCTTTTAAAATTTGTATAATAAATAGCGGTTATTCTAATAGTTTTCAATTAAAAAAATATCATATTAGTTCAACAAAATATTGGAGCCTTCATTATACAAGACGACGTAGGTTATATGGGTGATCACAGCTTCGTGTGTGATGGCCCTAGGTCACTTCTTTATCAACCCGTTCTCGCAAATTTAATAAGTCAATATTGACTTATTAAATATGTGCATAGGTGACATACTTAACATAATAGATACCCTTAAAAAGATTCATAGAAAACACCGACCTTACCTAACCTTGTTAGTATCTTAAGATAAGCATCTTATTGCTTCGTAATTACAATTATTACCTAACCTATAATAGGTATAGGTTAAGTAATAATTGTAATTACGAAGCAATAAGATGCTTATCTTAAGATACTAACAAGGTTAGGTAAGGTCGGTGTTTTCTATGAATCTTTTTAGGGGTATCTATTATGTTTAGTATATCACCTATGCACGTAGTTAATAAGTCAATATTGACTTTACGAATTTGCGAGAACGGGTTGTCTTTATCTAAGCCCGGTCTTAATCGTAAGTATTACGAAGTATCGCTAATATTCGTGTTCGTAACTACCATCTGTGCGAGTGAACATTTCCAGCTGTTCATAAATCCTTTCAAGTAGCACTACCTTCATGGGCTATTATTTTGCAATAATTTACACACATTAAGCTATCGATGTTATAGAAACAAATCACTTTTCTATAACAACACACACAAGTATACTGAATTCAAAGTGAACTTGTAACTTACAAGCTCATTGTATACAGTTTATAAACTGTTTGCAATAATTTACTCACAATAGGCTATCGCTGTTATAAAAACAAATCACTTTTCTATAACAACACACACAGATATACTGAATTCAAAGTGAACTTGTAACTTACAAGCCGCGCTTCACTGCACCACCACGAGCACACCACGTCTCGAGCTCACCACCGTCTCGAGCACCCACGGAAGGGCGTCTGAGGGCGCCTGGTCCACCGACTTACCAGGTCGCCACGTGAGGTGTAACACAAGCTCCGGTAAGTTAAGAATAGCACTTCGCCAGGCCTGGTCACCTGCGGCAAATTTTTCCCTCTTGGCAACCCACTGTCTCGAGAGAGCGTACCAACCGCCGTCCAGTTTGGTTACTCATTTATGCATGTGTGTGTTTTTTTGTGTGTGTTTTAAGTAAATTCGATTGTTCGGAACCAGTGATTTCTAATGTATTTAACATAAATATTTAGTATCGTGATGTATCTACAAGTTTGGGCTGCATTTCCCCCTTCTCGTCTTCAGTTCTTGCACGCTGTCCTTCTGCTCTATATTTGGGAAGGTGCGCTTCGCTCCTCTGTTGCTCTTCTTGTTAAATATCCAGCCGCAAATTATGTTAATAAGGAAAATTAATGTATATTCACTTCCATACTGCTGTCATATTAATTATGCTCTTTTAGTAACCTGTCCCCATAGTCTACTGTCATTGAAGGGAACTTTGCATGAGTCGAAATCACCAAAGCTATTTTTTCTTTTTAAATCTAAAGGTAGAACACCCTGCACGAGTTTACACACTGGTGAGGTTTAAGCGTCTAGGTCGGGTGGTGTTTAGGACCGAGACGACCAGGTCGGGTGGTGTCTAGGACCCAGACGACCAGGTCGGGTGGTGTCTAGAACCCAGACGACCAGGTCGGGTGCTATCTCGAGTTTAGACGACCAAGTCGGACGTGGTCTTGATATGGGGGAGGAGGGTATGGTATTGATTATTGGATCGGGTGTTATCCTGATTGTGTCAAGTTTAGTATTGATGACTGGGTCGTATGTATTCTAGACACCTGTGTCGGGCGTGATCTTAATCAGGCCGGGTCTGGTCTTGACAACCAGGGCGGGTGGTTTTAACGACCAGGTAATATAATAATACTATTTTATTGATGCAAAAGTACATACATATACGTGAATATTGGAGAATTTGAAGGTTAAACAGGTGCAATTCATAAAGCCTCTAATATGCAGAGCGTTTCGGGTGTAAGGTATTATGTGTATTTCGGGCATAATATATTGTGTATGTGTTTCTGGCATAAGGTATTGTGTGTGTTTCTGGCATAAGGTATTGTGTGTGTTTCTGGCATAAGGTATTGTGTGTGTTTCTGGCATAATGTATTGTGTGTGTTTCTGGCATAAGGTATTGTGTGTGTTTCTGGCATAAGGTATTGTGTGTGTTTCTGGCATAAGGTATTGTGTGTGTTTCTGGCATAAGGTATTGTGTGTGTTTCTGGCATAAGGTATTGTGTGTGTTTCTGGCATAAGGTATTGTGTGTGTTTCTGGCATAAGGTATTGTGTGTGTTTCTGGCATAAGGTATTGTGTGTGTTTCTGGCATAAGGTATTGTGTGTGTTTCTGGCATAAGGTATTGTGTGTGTTTCTGGCATAAGGTATTGTGTGTGTTTCTGGCATAAGGTATTGTGTGTGTTTCTGGCATAATGTATTGTGTGTGTTTCTGGCATAAGGTATTGTGTGTGTTTCTGGCATAAGGTATTATTATGTGTGTTCATGTTTATTCGAACGAATTGTCGTCTTGCAACAACCCTCTTGTCTGCAGTTCAATCTTTTCATCACTACTCGGTTGTAGTGATCGATATCCAGATGGGAACTTTTTTAAAACAAAGTAATGTATGAAAACTGGTTAAATAACCCCTTAATCTGAATCACCCAATGAGGGAAAGTTAGTATTTTTTGTTATAAAAATCACTTAGTGACCATACCTCCATCTTTTCAAGAAATACTAACATAATTCTAAATAAAATATAATTTTTAACATTCTTCTGGACATTTGCTTGTCACAGGACAAAAATGAAAGATCTGTTGACATTGATGAGACGTGGAAGATTGGTATCAGCAAGATGTTTTTATTCCCTTAGGGACTGTTGTATTTAACTTTAATATTGATCAAATAGATGTCTCCCTCCAGTCACTTTTTGTTCAAGGTGATGTAACATAACAATGTACTTTGATCTTATTAAGTTATTTTTTAACACATAGGCTCAAGAGTAGACGATTTCGCGCTCCTGTTAGCAGACTTAGAGCTTTCCCTTCCCACTGTTCATGTTGAGCTGAGCAAACTACTTATCAGAAAATGAACAGACGACTACTATTCGGTCCGTCCTGGACCATTATCAAGTCGGTCCAGGACGGACTGAAACATCGTTTCTTCATTTTTTAATGTGCGGTTTGGTCATCAAGGAGCCGGTTGGCCGAGCGGACAGCACGCTGGACTTGTGATCCTGTGGTCCTGGGTTCGATCCCAGGCGCCGGCGAGAAACAATGGGCAGAGTTTCTTTCACCCTATGCCCCTGTTACCTAGCAGTAAAATAGGTACCTGGGTGTTAGTCAGCTGTCACGAGCTGCTTCCTGGGGGTGGAGGCCTGGTCGAGGATCGGGCCGCGGGGACACTAAAGCCCCGAAATCCTCTCAAGATAACCTCAAGATAACCATCATATCTTCATCTACGTTATTGAGACTCGTTGTCTGTCACAATAACGTGCATGTTAATCCTTACCCTTGTTAGGTTCCTCCTGGAGCATGAACCGCCAATCGTTTTACAGTCAGGTCCCCAATTACCACTGGGTGAACAGTTAAGAATTAGTATCCAATAAAAATCAAGAGCTAAATTTAAAGCCTGTTCTATGTCCTAGTCAGTTTACTTTAGACTGTTCTATGTCCTAGTCAGTTTACTTTAGACTGTTCTATGTCCTAGTCAGTTTACTTTAGACTGTTCTATGTCCTAGTCAGTTTACTTTAGACGATGTCATTGTAAAGCCAAGTAATGAAGCTCGTAGTTTTCTTACTATTCATGTGTAAATATCTCATAGCACTAATCTAAGAAGTAAAAATTCACCTAATCTGTTCCTAATTCAAATACATATCTAGGAATTGTTCAAATTCAATCATTAATTAGCCCACGTGTATTGTGAAATCTAGATAGTTAACAAAATAATGCGTAATCAAATACACTAATATCTCACATCTCACTATAATCCTAATTACTAATGTTAATAACATCAATTTGTTAATTACTGTAATTAAACTATGTTATAAGATGTTACACTGAAGAGAGTACAAAGTGTTGAGAACAATGTAGAGAAACTACAAGAGAAGTGCAAACTTTATTTGTAGTTACTGTTTTCATGTAAGGGCTTTTAACACTCATATTTATGAAACAATTAAAAATGATTTATTTCCTCATCTTGGCTTTCCTGAAGCAAAGTATACCCAACAACGGAACTCAGTTGTGCCCAACAACGGAACCCAGTTGTGCCCAACAACGGAACCCAGTTGTGCCCAACAACGGAACCCAGCTGTGCTCAACAACGGAACCCAGCTGTGCTCAACAATGGAACACAGCTGTACCCAACAACGGAACCCAGCTGTGCCCAACAACGGAACCCAGTTGTGCCCAACAACGGGACCCAGCTGTGCTCAACAACGGAACCCAGCTGTGCCCAACAACGGAACCCAGCTGTGCCCAACAACGGAACCCAGCTGTGCCCAACAACGGAACCCAGCTGTGCCCAACAACGGAACCCAGCTGTGCTCAACAACGGAACCCAGCTGTGCCCAACAACGGAACCCAGCTGTGCCCAATAACGGGATCCAGCTGTGCCCAACAACGAGACAGCTAAGCTCTGAGGAACCTCATTCTCATTGCTGCTGAAAAAATAAAAATAGTGTCAGTCTACGTTTTACAAATTAACGAAGAAATCGCTTAAATAATATTTACTTATCAACAGTAATAATTGCGTTGCTAGTGAATATATAGCAGTGCATCACTAAACTTCACATAAACATTATTGAAATTTAAATTAGATGCTCAGGTTTGGAAAATAATCCATGAACTGAGAATGTATCCAAAGTTACTAGTAATGACAGATTTGTTCCAGCAGTAACTCTACTATTTGGTCCAAGTCCGTCAACAACAGGAAACGAATTGCTTAGTATTTATTTTCAGGGATTATTCATGTTGTGGCAGAAATGTTAGAGTTGGGATCATATTAGTAAGTGTTTATTTGCCGTATTACTGTGGTGAGTCAGGATTCTCTCTCTCTCTCTCTCTCTCTCTCTCTCTCTCTCTCTCTCTCTCTCTCTCTCTCTCTCTCTCTCTCTCTCTCTCTCTCTCTCTCTCTCTCTCTCTCTCTATATATATATATATATATATATATATATATATATATATATATATATATATATATATATATATATATATATATATATATATATATATATATATATATATATATATATATATATATATATATATATATATATATGTATATATATATATATATATATATATATATATATATATATATATATATATATATATATATATATATATATAAATAACACCAAGATCTCTTCTCCTATGAAGGATTCGAACCTTAGAAACTAGGTGTATTACACACTTTGACAAAACTAGTACCCTAACCAATACACCATAGCATTTCTTGGTGTTACATATAACTTATAGCGCTAACCACTGAGTTACAGAACAACCACAGCAACAGAGGATCTCAAAGATATTCTTCTGGTGTCCAATTGAGACTTTAGGCCTCCCCTGGGGTGTCATTCAAGCACAGAGGTGTCAGGTGATCCGCACCCCGAGTCATATAAATTGCTAACAATACTTACATATTGTCCGAAACGTACATACATATTTTATGTACGTACATATTTAACGTACTTACATATTTTTGCCCGAAACGCTATGCGTACTAGTGGCTTTAGGTATTGTATGTACTACCTCTTATCTTTAAATGAAACCGAATGTTTGTACTGTAACTCTGCAACTATGTATGTACTTTTCCTAAATATATTATTATTATTATTATTATTATTATTATTATTATTATTATTATTATTATTGTTATTATTATATTGTATATGTAAAACAATATTTACATATTGTATTAGTTTGAAGAAAGATTGAAAATCAATAATACAAAATTAGCTTCTCTTGGTGAGACATTTACTTAAATATTAATGTGTTATTTACGAATCTA